TTATGTTGGCCTCGAGGACCACGGTGGTTTGTGACCTACTCGCATACACCTGCGACCCTACAAGAAAAAGTCTAACGGGATCAAATTGCACGATCTCGGTGACCAGTTCTCATCACCTTCATGTGAGATAACGATGCCCTCAAATCGCTCGTGCAGAATATCCAATGTGACATGAGCTGTGTGGCACGTAGCGCCAATCTGTTGAAACCATATGTCGTTGGTGTTCAGATCATCCAATTCAGGCAAAAAAATTGGTTGTCGTCAACCTATAGTGATCGCCGTTGACATTGACGGCCTGGCCAACGTCATTCTCAAATAAATTATACCGATGACGCCGCCATCCCAAAATCCACACCGAACAGTGACTTTTTCGGTATGCATTGGACGGTCTTGGATCTCATGTGGATTGGTTCACGTACCCATCCATCCAGAAATGGACCTCATCGCTGAAGATGATTTTTCCATGAAAATTAGGGTCAGTTGTCAACTGCTCCAGAGCCTTTTCAGAGAACACACGTCGATATCCATGGTCGTTTACCTTCAGTTCCTGGGTCAGTTGAATTTTGTACGGGTACAGGCCCATGTCACGACGCAAAATTCGCCACTTTGCGGTCTGCGAAAGGCCGAGTTCTTGTGGGCAACGCGAAATCGATTGCTTCAGATTCACCTGCATACTCTCGTAGACATCGGCTATGTTTTCGGCAGATCTTGCGGTTCGTCGACGTCCAGGTGTTGATCGATCGTTAACATTGCGAATAGTTCTCTCGGTAGGACGATAATGGCGACCATAAAATGGGGAGAAGCGTGCGATACGTTGCCCGAATATAATCCCATTTTGATGAAACAATTTTATTATTTGCAAGTGTTGGTGAATGTTATATCCATCCGTGGTGATTTGGCAAAACCAAGCTGAATAAATGACAACTAATTTGATAGATCTATCTTCAACAAGATGGTTGATCATTTGTCAAATGAAGTCCCTGTTCGAAAACGAAAACTGGAATTATAACAGATTATGTCTTACAGTATTCATATACCTTGCTAAGGCCTTTGAAATGGTCAGTCACACAATACCTTTCTTTACTCTAGAAAACAAAGAAATCAGAGGAAAATGTGTGGATTTCATCAGTTCGTACTTCCATTGTCTAATATAATATAAATTGATTTGAAGTCCCTGAAAGAATCTGTAAAAAATTAAAAAGATTAGCTGGGAAGTAACAAATTTATTGAACAAAAAACTGAAATTACAAAGAAATAACATACAAGCAATAACCAAAAAAAACAAAAAATTTGACCATTAACACGATTTGAAAATTAAAAAAAATTAAAAGATTCCAAACCAAGTCANCCCCCATACGAACGACAACTCTCAGAAGTTGAGAAACTTGTCCGAGCTAAGGACTAACTAGGTCTTACCTTTTAACGTGTGATTCCTAACACGGTTGCAGAATCATTCCAGCTTCAACCAGATACATTCTCTCGAGAAAAATATCTGGTCGAGGCGGGAATCGAACACACGACCTTCCGATCGTGAGTCGGACGCACTACCACCGCGGCCAATTCCACAACAACGAAGTTAACAGAAATCGTTTCTCTCTGTTCAATATTCATATCCTCCGGTGAACGAATTATTTCTGTATGGGGCCAATTTTCTGGACTCTGTTTTAGCCACTGAGGACCTTCTCATTTTGCAAAAACCTAACTATAATCTTCAAATTTTTCAAAACTAATTAACTTTTTTGTTAAAGACATAATCTTCTTTGTTGTTTGAAAGTTTCGGATGACCTTCTTTCCAAGGAAGATTTACTTGATATCTACCATCATCTGTCTGCAAAACCGTTTCTTGAAATACTTTTTCGTTTTAAAATCAATAATTCCTTTTGTTGTGGTATTTGCGGGCTCCTTTATACCCAAAACATCTTACTCCCACAAATCAGCAATAGAAAAATCAGTGAAACAGAAAAAAATACGATTGTTACTTGTGTTATACACTTGTTGTTCCATTATAGTCCATCCAAGATGCGTTTCTATGGCAACAAGTCCATTATTCAAAGTTTCAATATGCCCTGTAATTAAATTTCCAAAAATATCTGCCCCTAGCAACANTTATCAAATAAAGTCTCACTGACGTTTTTAAATTATATTTATTTGACAACTCTAATCAAAATCTTCTTACTAACAAACTTGATTCAACTAAAAATATTATCAGACATCACATAAACTAAATAGAAAATATATGTATCGAGGGAATGATAAAAACATACATTCTAAATCTAACAGGACTATAAATGTACAACAATAAATAACCTTCATAATTCTATGGTATTGGGTTGATTTAACATTGAACCTCCTATGAATTCATGAACTTCTTTCCCAAAAATGAAAAGATTTTCTATTTTTCTGTCCCTTTTTTTCTGTTCGGCGTTTGGTTGGGAAATATCCTAATCAAAATTAGTATTTAAATTTATGGAAGTTGTACAAAAACTATTGTTTTCACTTTCAACACGAAACATAATTTTTCCTTCAGGACTATGAAAATCATACATTTCCTTCTAAAAGTTCAGCATGGGCACGTATTTTACATCTTCCCTCTTCCTCATTTTGATTTAATTTATACCCTTTTACTAATTCTATTAATAATTGAAATGTGTTCATATCAAATATCACATATTTCTCTTTCTTGACATTTCTTGTACACTTCCGAAAAAGTTTTATTCTCCTATGATCCAACAGATTTACTGTTGGATCTGCATCATTTCCATTTCGAGTAATTCAATCCATTCTAAATATACGAGAATATTTCAGTTAATGAATCAATTCGGAGATTTATTTTTTATATAAGAGAATTTCTGTCAACATCATTTAATTTTTCAGAAAACAAATCCTTTATTGGTATGGTTGGTTTATTATTGTTCATTCTGACCTTTCTTTTTCTTTCTGTTCGAGCATCTTCGTCAGTTTTGAATAATAATAATCATCAATACATATAATAATCATTATCTATTTATCTGTTTGTCTGTGCGTTTGTGCCCGCTTATCTCAAAAACGATGCAATTTTCACCTTTGTATTGTGAAAAATCACTCAATATTTGGTGTTCGATTTATTCAAATCTGTTCATGAAAGAAAAAGTTATAAGGAATCCAGTAAAGTAATTGTTGAAACTTTGGTTAGCTATATTTATACGATATTCTCATGTATCGATGGCAAATTCATGAGAAATTTTTGTTCTCAAGAAATCTGAAGAAATAAAAAAACTGAACTTAGGACGTATAGCAACAACTACACTAAATATATTGAAATGTTTGGTTCATAATTTATTAATAGTTAATTTCCTAATTTCAACTGGTGAACATTATTATTCAATTGAATTTTTATTGCAGTGTATATTAAATAAGTTTGGCTCACCTACATTCATCGAAATATTTTACTCATTTGGATATTATTGAAGAGTTTTACAGGTGTTTACCCATTCAGAGGAGAAGGTGAAAAATCAAGTTGATAGGATGGTGATGATATAGGTTGGAAATTTCGTGACGAAGTACTCTTTCGGTGTTTTCTACTCCATTATCTGCAAAAACTGAATTTTTTCCATTCGCGACACATTTCACTCATGGTTTTGCCGTCAAAAGGAGATGATATCAACTGATGATTAATATGACACACATCAGTTATCAGGTCCAATGCGTGGTGATACAAAGCATGTCATAGTTTTATTAAGTATAAAAAAAATAATTTTCAGTACATTTACTCTGAGGTGTTGCTACTACCAAAAAGCTGCTTCAAACAATGAAGTATCTGGTCGGTTGAATTCAACAATCAAATCCCAACGAGTTGAAACTGTTTTGAATCATAATTTAATTTTATTTTTGTGATCAGAAGAGTTTAAGAAATGAAACTAAGTCAGCTTAGAGAGACGTTGAAATGCCCTCCTGAGAATATCGTCAAATTCATGCTAACCATCTTTCAAAAAACTATTCGAAAAGGCATCCAAAAAAATATACACCTCCAATTTTTGGAGTCTCCATGTCATTGTCGGTATTGTTATAAACCACTTTCGAAACTGTCCACTCAAATGAATAATAACCTTTTCAACAACAAAAAAAATTCGGAATTACAAAAAAGACAGTTCTCCATAATGAATCGAATATCGGTTCAAACATTTCAATACAGTTGACATAGATTGAAAAAGTGTTTATGGCTTATACACGTAACAATACCTTTTCATTGACTCTTAACGAATATGTTGATTTGCTATTTGTGTACGAAAAATCTCTGAAGAATTCTCATCACATCTGGTGCAATGGAACAAAAATTACGTTCTGAATTATCGAAAAGAGAAGACCATGAAATATTTCACTTCTAGTATAAGTAGAAGACCTTGGGGCTAGTAGATAATTGAAAAACAGTTACCACCCGTTTATTCATCTCTCGAAGAAAATTTTTGTTCATGTTCTGAAGACGCCAACTTAGTTGGTGAAATGCTTGTCGAAAAAAGTAAAAACGTGTTGTAGTATTTTTAGTAATTGGGAAAAGTGCTTGTTTTGAATTTATTCTACGCCAGAGGTTCCAGTTTTACTATTCACTAGATTCACATGACAATTCAAGTTTCTGCATGATCTGCAAAATTATTTTTTCGTTAATGTATTATGCTAGTTGTCAATAACTAAGATGCTAATTCTTATGCTGTTATTGGTATTTCTTTCTCATTTTCGAATAAAGTATTTGCTTTGCTGATGATGTCACCATGTGTTTGTCAGATGACAACAATCTACAACAAAAAATCGATTTGATTACACTAGACACTGTGAAAAGATTCAGTTGAAATTGACAAAACGATTTTTTTCTAGTACGTCAAACTGCACTATTGGTGAAATCATTGTCGCCTCATTCGAACGGAAAGTTTCATTACATTGTTAATTTTTATAATTATGTTCCTTGTTTATACCTTCAAACCTTCAAACATTCAAGAGCACTGAATCGATTTTTCAATTATTCACAGACCAAAGACGACGAGACAGCTCTCCACTGTGCTGCCCAATATGGTCATACTCAAGTGGTCAGCTTATTACTAGAGCACGCCTGCGATCCCGGAATAAGGAATTGCAGAGGCGAGACGGCCCTGGAACTTGCAGCCCAATACGGAAGGTCAGTTCTCAAAGATTTAATGAAATTATTGGTTTATATAATTGAATATCGCCATTTTGGAAGTCTGTTGATGGATTTATCGAGTGTTCAGATTGTTTCTTTCAAATTATCTTTTCGATGATACATGGAGAGTGATCGTGGCAGAATTTCCGACCTAATATCTTTTTGCAAAATCTAACTTCTTACTAACATCTAAAGACAATTCAAGTTTGTTCGTGAAAAGACAGGTTCTGGGATAAAAATTATTGCAAAACTTTCAACTCTCTGAGCGAGGGAGTCATCCTATTAATTTTCAATTTGAATGGTAGGGTTGAGTGATACCCCATTGAAAACAGCTTTCAATTCTCTTTCCACCGCTACTTTCCCGTTGGAAATTGATCCATTCGTTCATTCAAAGTGTAGCAGACAATTGATTGACTCTGAAAGTCATATCACTCTGAGAATAACCCCAGACTTGAAGCGTTCAAAATTCAACCATGACCTTTCTAATTCTGTTCCAATCCCGACTAGAGGACTGGATCCTCGTAGGTGGAAATACCAAAATCAGATTTCTGTTGGTTCACAGATGGATCAAAAACACCTTCAGGTTTTGGTGCAGGTGTATACAGTCGCAGACCTATGACAGATATATCTACCTATCAAGGGACCTATGTGACCGTAATTCAGGCGGCCATTGATTCAGTTTTGGTGAGATTGCCAAGCGACTCTGAAATCCTTTGGTTTTTACAGAGCAAGTTCCAATTAATTACAGAATTATCTATGGTCTAAACTCCTGACAACATTGGGAGTAAAGCAATGAATCTGTTGGCTTCATTTCGAAGACATTTTAGACTACTGAAAAAATTATTAGGATTGGCCCCTTCTGAGGCATTTATAACTCCTTCTGAGAATATTATCAAATAATTGCTAGACTGCAGTAGGGATGACTCGTGTTGCCTAAAATACATATTTACTAGTTACTGCCATCTGAAACATCATATAAAGAAACTTGGACTGTTGGAAGATAGTGCGTGCCTTCTCTTTTCAGAAGATAATGATGAAACTGCAGAGTACATACTACTTGCCTACTTCGTCGCGTCACGAATTAGGTTTTCAGTCTGGCTTGATCAATCATTCACCAATAAACTAGGTGATCGGCTTAGTGGATGAGCTTGAGTTATTTGGTCGAATTTGAATTGGTGTGAGCCAAAATAAACTCTGGAAGTGGAGGGTCGAATAGACGCGCTGATTCTGGATCTGCCTACCTGTTGAATGATTGTTTCAATGAACACCATCGACATTAAGTTTTGCACAAATG